AATTAAAAATATATTTTCAAATTTGATTATAATTTTTAATACATTTATAATTATTAAAATTAATAAATAAAAATTTTTATAATTTTATATTATATTTTTAAAATATATTATTATTTTAGGTCCAGAAAATTTTTAATTCATCTTCAAAAATAATTACTCGAATAAATAAATAAATTCTATTGTGCAAAACTTTAAATACTTGATTCAAGTATTCAGATCACAATGTTAAAGAACTTCATTATGATGACAACAATTATTTAAAAGGTCACAAATCCGGATTTGTAAGTGGTTTGATATAATCATTCCAATAACTTGGCACTCCATTGCAGTTCGGTGCTGCCTTAATCGTATCGAAATAGGCTGTTAAGTAAGTTAAAATCATAAAATGACATGCACACAAATTATTATACTATACTAAAAGAACCAGATTAGTCAATTGAGAATTTTCGCTTACCTGTGTAAATGTCACCATCATACCTTCCCAAGGGTGCTTTCAAAATGAAATCCGGATATCCCCATGCGTCAACTAATGGTATTACCTCTTCTCTAGCCTTCTTGCACATTTCCAGATATACCTTTCTTACCATACTAGCTTGTTTCTTGTTGAAATACTCCTCTTCCAAGAACAGGTCCAGGTATTCATTTATCAAATGAACAGACCACAATTGACCCATTTTTTTAAGTATTGGTACGAGGTCTATATATTCGTTGGGTTGAAAACCGGATTTCGACAATGGATCTGAAAGGTCCTTAAGCCCGTGATTGAATTCGAATAAGGTCAACCTGTATACATGAAGCTCTGTCGATTTGATAATCGAGATTTGATTGGAATTCCACGATGTCGCTGGATCTGATGATGAGGTCGATAATGTTGTGGCTAAATGTTGAAACTAAGTAAACAGCCGATCAAGGTTAATATGAATTCTTGTTATTGAAAAAAAAAAAAACAGGGTTCGAAAAGACGCTTTTATCACCTTTCGAATAGTCAACCACGTCATAATCTCTAGTGTGAAATCCAAATCAAATAATTGCTTCTCATCAAACAGACTGCACTTGGAGATTTCCAAAAAAATTTTTGAGTCGTTTAAGTATGCTACTGAACCGTCGACTTTCTTTCCTTGAGCCGTATCATTAAAAGCACCTAGTACATATCTCTAATGTAAATAGTTTTTATTCAACACTATTACCATCAATGCATAGTGGAAAAGGATCATGGGTTTCAATTCAAATAAATACCGCAGTTTGTTGCAAGAGTACGAAATTATCTCCACCGCCTAAACCAGATAAATTGTTTAGAGAACATTGCAAAGGTTAAAAAGGGTAGCAATTTAATGAATTGCAAAATCTACTTGCCAGTGGTCACCACGCCCCAGTCTCCAATTGAAGGCCCAATGGCATTGTAAGCTGAATAGGCGTGTCCACCCATTGATCGACGTACTCTTTCCAATACCTCGCATCCCCACCAGGTTAATGTCCCCTTAAATCCCGATGACATGGCATGAAAATCGCCAATTCTCTTGACAAATTCGGACTGATTCGTGTTCAACAGACTTAAAGTATCATTCCACCGTTTGGTCATAATCCTGAATTATGATGTTGCAAGGGATAAGTGGTATAGTGTGTATGAAGTATTCGGGAGATAATAGGTTACCTGTACAACGTGTTGATCACGTATACGCTCGCAACTCCGGGCATCAGCTTCACGTAGTGAGTCTGATAATCCATAATCTTTTCATCATTAGAACCCTGTCTTCTCACACATCCGTATCTACAGGCGATAGTTAAAGCCTGACCTAATACAATTTGCGTTCCAAAAAGGACAGTTAATCGTTCACCAATGAGGGTGGCATAAGGTAACGCAGGGTTTGGCGGAGAAGTGTACGTTCCGTCCTTAGAAACTTTAGACCATTTCATCAACATGTTTTCTCTCGGGATTCGCACATGAGAAAATTGGATCCATCCGTTATCCAACCCATTTCGGCCATATTTTACCCCCATATCGCCGGCTACAACTCCAGGGACCAGTTTGCCTGTTTTACGATCTCTTAAAGGCACCACGAACCAGTCTATCCCGTGATCCTTTCCATCAATGATTGTCTTACATATGGCCACGGTATGAGTTGCCGTCTGTCCTGCCATACCAATCCATCTATTTGTAATGCATCACATTATATATTGGGTATTTTAAAATATTCAATTACGGATTCTTACACTTTTGTTGCCCCTAACGTTGGCGAATGGATAATAAATTCGTCTGTTTCCCTAACATATGTCGCTGTCGTTTCCAGGCCTCGTAAGAAAGAACTACGACATTACCAGGAAGAAGGGTGAGTGCTAGTTGACCGCAGGCACAAGTTGAGCGCTACACACCTGTGACACAATTCGGTCTAATTAGGTTACAAGTGGAGAGATCAGAATGCCGAGCCGAGTCATAAAATCAAGAGCTTTTTGCAAATAAGTTCGCCTTACCATCGCGAAACATCCGATTACCCTCCACTTGTTGACATCATCGATCCACCGGTCTAATAAAGTCAATAGTCATTCGTTGTTTGTTTAACCTTCCCGGTAAATTAATCTTACCGTATTGCGCTTTCGTTCCAAAGAGCTCAAAGGATTGACGAAATAAAGTGTCGTGGACATAGGTCCTCATGGCGAATGATTCTGAATATGTACTTGCACAACATTGAGAGGGAAATTTAAAACCCTTACTAGTCAAATCGCGAACCCGACCGAAAAAAAAAAAAAAAACGACAATAAATACCACATCGCATGTTCCAAGGCTTTGCATAATAAGGGATCTTTTACGCTCTGACGGATTTTTTGAAAACGAAAAATTTGTCTCATCACCCTGATTGTGAGACAAGCGAAAGTCCCATTGGTTACTCGAGAACGACAAATAACAAATTTAAGTAATGAAGACTTTTACAATTCACGTTGTTCAGGCCTGGTCATATCGAAAGGATGACCGCCAGGGATATAGAGGTCTGGATCACGTTGTATCATCTGGTATGCGTCCGCCTAGAACACAATAAGATGTGAGGATAGGAGAGAGGCCATGAATTCACAATCCTACCATAGCTTTTGCCATTTCCTTTCCTCCTTCAAACAAGCAATTCATTTTTCGGACATCGAAAGTAGCGTTTTCCCTTTCCTTAGCCAAATCGACAGAGCCGGCGGGGGGTTGAATCATGTGTTTTTGTATGCTTGTGAGTCGGTCCAATGCATTGTTTTTGGACATCCTTTTGGGGTTCAATGAATTCTTGGTAAAAAAAAAAAAAAATGAGGAACCTTAATTGAAAATTTGGGATTAAGAAGTATATAACAGTATATATACTGTATACTGTATATGATCATAAATAGCATGATGTGCATTATAAATGTGGTCGATTCGATTTATACACGTACGAATTTTACCGCATGCATCGTATGATACCATACCAAAGAAAGAATGCGACTCAATTAGGAAATAGAAAACCTAACATCAGCGAGGGCAAACGCAACGATTCATCACACTTCAATGGCGGGTACTGTTCGGTGCGAAATGCAAAGAAAACATGCAACGTACCATATTTCTCAAGTGTATGATTACAAAAAAAACATATCACTTTCAAGCTTGTCATAAATCCCATTGAAATTATCAAGTTGACATGTAGACGAGCGCACGAAGAAAAAACGATATACAGTGCATGTAAAAATCTTTTAACTATAAAGCCGACAATCGTTGATGCTTAAAAATTAAACGTGCTTGCTTATTCTTGGCAAAATCTATACACTCATAAAATCAACAGTTATTGATGCTAATGAGTTCACGAATTTCATCAAAACACACAAGGTTCGAAGAAAGGTATGATTCAGACGGAGTTTTAAACCGACGCACTGCCGACCCTTTAGAACCCTATCTAGTTGCGCGTCGTTTTACAGTATATAACTTTCGTCGATCGGGTCATTTGTGACATGAAGTCATTTTTTTTATAGTATAATGAATAATTATTAATTTTGATGGTATGATCAAGTTATACATGACTTGACTGACTTATACACTGATAATGCAGGAAAAAATCAAAGTTTGATTGGCCGAGAGGTCCCTTTCCATAAACTAGACAATGGCGAGGATTTTTTTTCAGATTTTCACGACAAAAGATTCACGCATAATCAGGATCAGATTGAGAGTAAAATGGTTAGCAAAAAAAATGCAAACAGATCAATCAAAGGGGCTCATGCAAAAGAGATCCAACTCCCTGTACATTGTGAAATATAAAAATGTCATCTAACATACAGTAGTCTGTTTTATCGCAGAGTTGAGTTTATAATTCCATCAAGATTTATCATTCACTTTATGACGTGTTGTTGAATCCGGATGTCCGTCTAAAACATCGGGCGTACTATTTACTTTGAGGATTCTACTAATATCCCTTTTTATATCCTCTTTACGCAACTTACGCATTGAAAGGGCGAGAGATGTGGAATTTCTAGGATTACCTTTATACCTTTGACTTTGACCAGGGTTGATAAAATCGGGCGTTTCATTTCGACCAATTTTATCCTCTTCCCCGGTGACACTAAAGGTTTCATTCCGGACATCGTCTTCACCCTTTGCCTTTATACCTCCGAAGATAACTTTTTTTCCTTTCACCAGTTTCAATCTCTCTTCGACAGCCGGCCTTCTCATCCCAGACCCGCCTAAGCCAACGTTAACACATGGATACAGCTCTTGGTATAAATAATTGGCCCACTTTCTCCCTTTTCCATTTGCGTATGTCCATCCCGCTCCAAATTTCGCGTCATCCCAACTTTGCTCGTTACCCCACACTCCGAGAATTTTCAATAATTTCTTGGATTTTTCAGGCATTATCGGCTTTAATAAGATGCTTGAGATGCGTAACGTCTCGAAAGAATAAAACGACGCCCTATCGATGACGTGGCGATCTTTAATCAGGTCGACTTCGTATGACAATATCTCCTCGAAATGATTATTGGCCTACAACGCGAAAGTGGTTATTGCCAAGGGTTAGGTTGACTCACTGACGAAAATTGTTGCCAGAATAAAATTTACCAACGTGACGACATATATTATGTGCTTCAGAACATTTGATAACTCAAAGTTTTCGTAATATCGTTCAACAACATCTAAACAATAAATGAAAGTAGAATAATAATCATCAGTATGTAATGTACACACGACATATACGCACATACAGTAGATGTGTCTCTGGTGGTTTCACAAAGGATGTTACCCGGAAATGTTGTTAATGTTTTGTGCAAGAGCACATCTTCATCGGCTATTTGACCGTTCTTATATTCTGGGTATCTAGGTATCCACGGTGAAGAGGTAAATTTGGGTTTCAAGCAATCATTGATCAACCTTCCGAGTTGATTGACCAAATCCTTGTGATACCGAATATTGATGCCCTCTAATGTGAATTCTTCACAATCGAAAACGGATAGCGGTCAGGAGGAGGTTTCGTTACCTAGCCAAACATTTGATCATTAATTTTGAATATTTACCTTGCGGCTTTGGGTCGTTGCCGTAAGCCATATAAACATATCGACAGGCATCTGATCCGTATAGGCGTATGACATTCATCGTATCTGCATGAAAAAGGTGGGTTTTAAAGGAATTTGCAAATATCTTCTTGACGGGCATCACGTCTGCTGCCAATAGTAGGGCGGGACCTGTCTCCGCATGAGTCCTGTTTGAGGGTAGATGGAGGTATTAACTTACTTATGGTAACACCAAACGACAGATGAAAGTTCATAATTATTGGAGACGTACTTTATCGAGCGTATATTGCATACATTAATGTCGATAGGCAAATGACTTCTTCTATCCGATTCACTTGACCAGGGATAACCGGCTGCGGTTAAATAATTAACATACACCTCGAAAGTTGGATCTATGGTGTGTTCCGGGTCATTGGGCACAAGGATTCCCCAGTCCACTTGGGAACGAGGTCGTGAGATACGCAGGGCTTTCAACAGTTTTCTTATTTGATATACGTAGCGCCCCGGTTCACTTGGTGCCGCGATGACTGCAGACATGAAGACGATGAATGATGAATGCATGCTGGTAACATCATCATGCGCATGTGCCGAATATGAAATGCGTCGCGAATACTAACGATATTTATTGGAATCTAACCATTTTTTTAACTTGTAGTGCATTCTCGGAAGTTTGAAATTATAATGCTCCTCCTCGGCCCAACTGAGTGGTTTTGGAGTATCATTATTTACGTTGGAAACCTATAACAAGAGTGTTTAAGAGAAGAGAAAGAGAGAGATCCGGAAAAACCGATAATTTTTAAAAACCTCACCATTTAACGTAAACGCAATTCACGTGTAAAAGGCGTATCAACCTACAATCATTTCTTTTCCAGTATGCGTGTGTTTTATCCTTTTTATCTTGGACTCGATATAAAACGACTGACTTAACGGTGAATACCATCCTTCTTGCTTACTCTTGTAAATCAAACCAACTTCCGTAAGATTGTTCTACAAAGTTACCGCGATCGTTTACACTCAGTATTCCCTGGAAGTAAACCTTGCTTAAAAGTGCCATCATACCCAAAGATGTGTCACGGCCTTTTCATGTCTGGGTTCTGTGGTGCGAAGGAAGTCCGTGTGTGCTATGTCGATCGCCTTTAAAACCTCCTGTGTTGGTGAGATGGTATTTTCGAGAGGTGTGAGTTCAATGGCTAATCAACGAGTAGAGTTTATCGAAGGAATCACCTTATATTCATTCGACTTTTTCTCACAAAACTCTTGGGCGGTTAATCCACTTTCTGCTATTGCTTGTTGCGCCTGATGATAGAATTAAGAAGACGCAGGATTGTTGAATTGACATAATTAATTGATCCTATCGTTTTTTTTTTTTTTACGCGATATACTACCCTGTGCCCGTACTCGGCAGTTCCTACGCTTAATAACACCTTTCGACCTCTCATTTCATAATATCTTTTAATGCAATCTGCTGCAATTGCATTGAACACATATTCGGTCATCGAATCTGACAATGTAACATCAAAATTCAATATTCGAGATTTCAATTATGCCATCGTGCAAGTGAGTAACCGAGAGAACTCACTAGCAAACACTGGGAAAGGCATTGTGGAAATAAATAGAGGTTTCCGAGACGGGTAATTCTTCTTTCCACTTTTATCATCGCAGGAGGTCGCCTGTTCCTCGAAGATGGCCGTCGAGTAATACCTCGTCACCGGTATGATGCGTAAATTCGACGTTGAAAAAGTTTTCAAAGAGAAAGTATCCGAAGAAAATGGAAAATTCTTTGCGAAAACTTTCTTTTTAATGACCTGCATTATCAATGCTGCCGATGCAAATATTTTCCGATAATCATTTTATCCATCCATTTGATCACGTGCCACAAGTAGACTTTGCATGCACGATAGATTCTTGAAACCATATGCTATATAGTAAGTGAGTATTTTGTTGTCTTTCATTTCAAAATAATAATAATAATAATAATTATTATTATTATTATTATATTATTATTATTATTATTATTATTATTATTATTATTATTATTATTATTATTATTATTATCTGGGGGGATTAATTGAATTATACAAGAAGCAACCAACTGGTGATCAACAAATTCTTAACTTCTAGGTCAGATTACAGCATTAAAGAAGAATCACCATGCGTAAATTATTGATTTTCTATAAAATGCATTAATTTGCAATGTGACGAGAGCAATAATTAATGTTTCTTTCACTATCCACTCGAGCATTCGCAATTAATTATTTAAAAGGGGAGAAGCGTGATCAAATTATTTGGCCAAGAACATCCCGAGCTCATCGTCACAACAGTTCGATTGAATATTGATAAAAAAATCAACCCACTGGAATCATGTGGATGTGTAGACCATCAAACGAATTCAATATGTTTGTGCCACCATCCTTTCAACTCAACTCATCGGCTACGTGCTCCCAAAAGGCTAACACTTGATACTGTACGTTGCACTCGTTAGAAACGGCAACTTGGCTAATCCGGATAATCAATTTATGCCTGACAATTCTATTTCTTTATCAAGTACGCAATCCTCGTCCGGTTTTATAATAAGTCACCGGGTGACTTTCTTCTGCCAAGTGTCAAAGTGAAATCCGATAGTATGATTGACGGTAATGGTTATACACGAAGGCCTTTTGATGTTTTACGTATTGAAAAATTGATGATGATGAAAATCCTGGAGTTCTTGAAATGACCCTTACCGGGTAATAATTTCCTTTCGCTTACTCCCCCTTTCACGGTGATGTAAACAAAAAAAATGGTTTGCGAATGCTCACATGAAATGCATGATATTATATGTGAGAAGTCGAGGTCAACATTAAACTATATTAATTAATTATCACAATGTGAGGTCCGCATTAAACTTTCAAACTCCTTCTCCGCACCAAACTAGAGATGCAAAAGAACGACAACCGGAACAGAGATAAGTTTGCCAAACTGCGGTCCATTATGCGGTGGGGGCTGGTTCGCTGTCGTCAAAACCTTAAAGGTTCCTGTAGTTATCGTTACAGTATCACAAGAGGAATCTTCGATTAAGCTCAATCTTAAATAGGCTCTGTGATCATGTGATATGGGTCGAGTCACTTGACGTGTGCTTCGCTTCTTTTCTTCGACTTATTCATTACGTACAGTACGTTTTGAGAACAATGACAATGTCGGCACGTAATAGGGGAATTACATTCTCCAGAATATTAGGATCACCTTCGTTATCCTGCATACCGCCATTTCACAACCCCCCTATTCACCCCTTGGTCTTTAAAATAAATTGATCGTCTCACATATCAAATGATATTTTTAGAATTGGAGGTGTGCGCGCATACATGCCACCAAGTCTCATGAAAGCATTACGTAAATAAGAATCACACATTGAAAATCTAAGACTTTTAAAACATAAATTTTAGGATTCCAAGAATAACTTTTCCGACCGTGTATGAAAGCTCCCAAGCATAAAATTCACGCATAAAGCCAATATGGATTAGGGCAATTGCCAAATTTGGCTTGGTGCAATTAAGCCTTTTATGAAAAGGTACAGTATATTTAACCCCACCTTTTTTGGTGGTGTAGTTCGTAACACAATCTCCGAAATAACAACGCGTTAACCCCCTTTTTAACCGGCCAAAGTACTTCT